GAGAGAGAGAGAGAAAGAGAAAGAGAGAGAGAGAGAGACCAGCCAAAGGTCCGCAAAAGCGCCCCCACCAGGCCTCCCCCAAAAAAAGAAGAAGAAAAGAGAAGCTGACTCCCCCTGAGTGGGTTTTGTGTGCATCAGTGGCGACTCCCCTATTCCCACTCTGGCCGAAACCCCACAAATCCTTGGAATTTCGTGGGGGGATAGGGAACCCTGAGCCCCGAACCTCTTGGGGTAGCTTTATGAAGCAGGGTTTATGTTTCTTTTTTTGGTGAGTGTATATAAGGTTCCTTTTTTATATTGGTGTATACATTGGGGGTCCTTTTTGGGGTACAAGATATATGAACCCTACCTCATATGGTCCCTTAGTATAGGCCCTGAAATGGGGACCCCTCATATATACCCGAGGGCCCACACCTCAGAACCCTTTGAAGAAGGTTAGGGGACCATGGAACGACCCTGAGCGAACCCTTTAAGGGTTTAGGGTTTAGGGTTTAGGGCTGCCCAAGAAGGCTTCCTGCTTAATCCTCGGTTGATGGGTGAACAAGACATGGCATCAACGTTCGTTCTTTCAGGCGGGAGCTCCAAAAGCGTCTGAAGGCAGGAGCGTGAGGTGGTAGACGGGGTTCCCCTATAGACTCTGAACCTTGGACGTCTTGGACCCCAAGCTCCTACAAACCCCTAAGGACCCAAGGGTTTATGGTTGACAGGGGTTTTGGGGAGATTGGTTTGGGGTCTTAGCGTGTTGCGAGATGCCCCACCCCAAACCCAAAACCCTGATTGGGCAGCTGCTGGGGTACAGGAGTTCCTGAGGCCCACACCCCAAAACCCGGAACCCCAAAACCACAAACCCTACTGAGGGACACCAAGGAATCCCCGAAAGCCGACGGCCAAAACCCACAAACCGCTAGGACCCACTTGTTTCTAGGGTTTATGGTTCAGGGTTTAGGGTCCATGGCAGCTGGAGGCACGTAAGAGAGCCCTCCGGCAAAAGGGTTCAGGGTAACCCAGAGTATAGGCCCTTATTCCTCTTCTGAAGGGCTGAGGTTCCCGCAAGAGCCCCCTTTAGTCCCAAAAAGGGTTTAGGGTTTAGGGTTCCTTTTCATTCCTGATTTCCTGTTGGTTCTAGAAGAGAAGGCCTTGATTGGGTTGGAGGTTCCCTTATGGCACCCGATAAGGTCTGACTAGGTATGCCCCTCTTTATGCCAAGCACAAAACGCAGGGTTTAGGGTTTAGGGTTTAGGGTTTAGGGTTGAAAACTGAACCAGCTTCCTTGCAGGCGGATACCCCGACGCAGCTTGACCTGTCAGGTGCGCATGCCTGAAGTTAATGGGCCACCTGGGAGGGAGATGTTTTGACTTACTTAGTCTCCGCTAGAAACCCGATTATAATCCTCATAACCTACGTTTGGGGCTGCTTAAGGGTACATAAGAGGACGATGTAAGGGTGGTAGGGTTTAGGGTTTAGGGCGTGTCTCTTTCAGCTGAACGTTGTAGCGTAGGGGGGGGGGTCTATTGCATGAGAATAGGTTCCTGGGCCAATCTAGAACATACTTCAGAGGTGGGTTGTAAGTTGTAAGGGGATGGTGATGGTAGCGGTTGGGGCTCCGTATTAAGAAGTCGCAGAGGAGGAACAGTGATTTGGGCAACCCCTTCAACCTTAAACCACCAACGCTACAAGACCTAAAATACCCGAAGCTCGAACCCAAACCCATAAACCCCAAACCCTAAAACATAGAATATGATGGCAACTTTGCGGGCTCCGAGGGCGCGACGTCTGGCTTCAGGGTTTATAGGGTTGATAGGGGTTTGTAGGGTTTCTTGGGGGTTTATATGCAGATCTTACGGTGCCCCGATGCCGAAGATTCCATCTACCCACCTAGTCGTTGCTGTGAGCCTTCACGAGGGGTTTCTTATGCCCTCGACCCTCAGACCCCAAAACCCTAAGACCCTAAAACCCTCGAACCCTGAACCCCTCAAACCCTAAGCCCTAAGCCCTAAGCCCTGAACCCTCGCCTCGCAGGGCTCCTGGAGTTCCCAATGACTCAGCTGTCGGTGGAGCTCGCGGCGTCTCGGCTGCACGGCCGCCGGAAGCCCCACCCTGCTTTGCGATTCGGCGTCAGCGTTTAGGGTTTAGGCTTTAGGGTTTAGGGTTTGCGGGGGCGACAAAAAAGCCCTTACCTTCCCAAGCTGCCTTCCCGCGTAGACTCCCCTCATGAGCTTTCGAGGCCAGAGTCTCATTCTTGCTCGGGCGCCGGGCCGAGATTTAGTGCTTAAAGGCAGCACGTGGCGGCCGACAGGGCCGACCACTTAGTGAGTTTAGGGTTGGGGGTTTAGGGTTTGGGGTTTGGGGTTTAAAGTTTAGCTGTTAGCTTTAAGTCGTGGTTTCTTTGTTGCTGATTTGTTGAATGGTTTTTGGTTCGGAGTGATGAACTGCGCTTATCAGGGTCGAGGTAGGACCTAGAAATTCTAAACCCTAAACCCTAAACCCTAAACCCTAAACCCTAAACCCTAAACCCTATTTGGGGGTTGTGTTTTTTGGATCCTCCCAGGGAGTTCTGGATTCGCAGCTGTCGAGCTTAGGCCCAGAGGTCTTTTCCGACCACGCTTCCGGCGCTCCTTTCGGTGCTGCCTCTCGGCCAGCCTTCCAAGAAGGTTTAGGGTTTGGGGTTTGGGGTTTAGGGTTTTGGGTTTTTGGGTTTTTGGGTTTTTGGGTTTTTGGGTTTTTGGGTTTTGGGGTTTTTGGGTTTTTGGGTTTTTGGGTTTTTTGGGTTTTTGGGTTTTTGGGTTTTTGGGCTTTCAGGGTTTTAGGGTTTCAGGGTTTTAGGGTTTTAGGTTTTCAGGGTTTTAGGGCTTCAGGGTTTCAGGGTTTTAGGGTTTAGGGTGTTAGGGTTTCAGGGTTTCAAGGTTTTAGGATGTTAGGGTTCTAGGGGGGAGGAGAACTTCTAGGACCCAGAGTAGGCTGTAGGCCCTCAATAAGCCCGCTTTATAAACCGAAAGAGGTCCTCTTTGCAGCAGCTGTAGATAGGCGCCACAGTGCAGGGCTGCAGTGGCAGGTGGCCGGATTTGTGGTCTTTGAGAGGGTTTAGGGTTTAGGGCTTAGGGTTTAGGGTTTAGGGTTTTGGGTTTTGGGTTTTGGATTTGAGAGGGGAACAAGACTCGACCCTTAAACCCCTGCAGTAAACGCAGACTCCTGTTCGCCAGCGCAGGACGGGTTATCTACCCTGTAATCTTGGGATGTTCCCCCTTCTACTTTATACTATCTGTCCTAAATCGGCATTAGAACAGGGAGTACAATCATCCCTATCAAGGGCTGTTAGTATAAGGGGGAACATCCCAAGCTATAATCCCTTGATAAGGGGGCCTTTATAGGGTCCATTATGAGGGTTATCAGCCCTAATAGCCCATCCTGGGATGTTACAGAGATGGCGCTATATGGGACTGGGCAGGTGCCAAGGTCTTTGCCATAGTTGGGTAACATTTTGCAATCTTAAGGCTACTTAAACCCAGTAAGGAAATAAGTTTAAATTTTTATATGATCTCAACAATGAACTAGAGGTGTAGCACAGAAAGGCTTATGCTTATTGGTTCTCAGTAGGAAGTCTTGCCCTGTACAATCCCTGAAAGGTTCTGTAGGGGGATGAAAGGTGCCCGTAGCTAACTCCCGAAAAATCCCCTACTAAGAACTATAGTGAGCTTAGATTCGCAGGCCCGGTTACCGTGGCAGCCACGACGACAAAAAAACTGTTTACAAGCCCTAAACCCTAAACCCTAAACCCTAAACCCTAAACCCTAAACCCTAAACCCTAAACCCTAAACCCTAAACCCTAAACGCGAAACCCTAGTTCCGAGACCCTGGGCCCTGAACAACCTCCCCCAAACGGTCCTGAGATGGCCCGGGCAAGCTCATTAGGGTTCAGTGTTTAGGGTTTAGGGTTTAGGGTTTAGGGTTTAGGGTTTAGGGTTTAGGGTTTAGGGTTCAGGATTAGTTAAGTATGTTCTTTTTGTCTTAAGGGTTAGGGTTAGTCACCTTCAAGGAACTCCTGATTCCTGAGGTTGGAGCTGGGATGCTTCGCTGCCGAGGCGAAAGCTTGTTTGTCCGGAAATGGGACGGGGGTGGGGGGGGGGGGTGGGGGGAGGAGCAGGAATGGGTCTTGAGCAATTTAGCGTATGTGGGGCTGTGTGAACTTGAAACTTTTTGGGTCTCCGTACTTAGTAAGAATTAAGATAGTGTTTAGCCATTTGTTCCTCCTTCGATTATTGGAGAAGTAAGTTGAAATCCCACAACACTGCCAGGAGGGCCTGCCGGGGCTTTTGAGCGAGATCCAGTCAGCGCTGAAGGAGGCGAATGCCTGAGTTCAGGCGTGTTCTTGGAAGCTCAGTAGCTGAATGGGCACACTTTTCACCTTTTTGGGGTACTCTAATCTCCTATAGAGCTGAAAGTGTACACTTTTTTTGGGGGGCTTATGAACTCAGCAACTAAGGGAGGCTCTTTTGACTGAGTGAGTAGGTTGGGATGTTCCCCCTTATACGAACAGCTCCCTAAGAGGGATCCTAGTACACTCTTGAGCCCTGTTGCCTGTTTAAGGGCTGTTCAGAAAAGGGGGAACAGCCCAATAAGTAGGGATAGTAAGGCTGGGTTGTGGGGATACTAAGTAGGCTTCCTAAACCCTAAATCCTAAACCCTAGAGCTTCCAAGTTGGTGGTTTCGGGCTCACTAGAGTCTTCGGCTCACGGCTTTTCTTCTGGGTCCCTCCCCCCTCTGGGATTTGGGCGAAAACATGCCTGCCCCCTTCAGGACGTAGGAATTGCTGTGGCTGAAGCGCTGAAGCTTCGAGACTTAACGATCCAAGCATGACTTCTGCGGCTTGCAGGCAGTTTGTGGAGCTGCTCTCACAACCCAAGCCCAACCTCAAATCCCAAAAGCCTTCGTAGCCATTTTGGCTCTCAAATAGTGCTTCCGTGCTTAGAGGTGGTACATCCCAGACTGGAGGGGCTGTAGACATGGCTGGGAGATGGCATCGGTGGCTGCTTGTCAGCCTCGTCACGCTCAGCGCGGCGCGCAAGACCCACTTTGAGCCGTGGTCTCCTTGCCACACTCTGCATCTAGGCCCTTGGGACATTTTACACTTTGCCCTAAACCCTAAACCCTAAACCCTAAACCCTAAACCCTAAACCCTAAACCCTAAACCCTAAGTTTAAGACAATCATATCTTCCGGAACATTTTTCAGAGGCATTTTTAGTGGCCATCTGAGGCACGGCAGCGGGAAAAACGCGCTGGTCACGGGAATCACTGGGATGCTGGGAAGCCATGTTGCCGAGGCCTTGCTCGAGCGCGGCTACAAAGTCTTCGGTGTCGTGGTAGCCCAGGGGTACCCTTTACAGTTTTTTTGGGGGGGGTTCTGGGTTCCCTTATAAAGAAACTACCCAAAAAAGGGTGCCCTTATTTTTGTTGGTTCTGGGTTCCCTTATTTAAGAAACCACCCCCAAAAGATGGGTGGTCTTGTTATTAGTATGGTTACTGGGCTACTCAGGTGTCGTGAGGCCGCGCAGCAACATCCGAAACCTGGCGACCTTCCAAGCCAAGATTGAGATTTTAACTGCTGAGCTGACAGACCCGTGGCGGGTGTTGAGGTTGATGGAGAAGGTGAAGCCAGACTACATCTTTCATTTCGCGGCCCAAGCCTTCAACAGCCTGTCTTTTGATCAACCTGCCGAGACCCTGTCCACAAACATGATGAGCACGCTCCACATTCTGGAGGCAGCGCGTCAACTGAACATGAAGAGCAGTCGGGTGGTGATTGCAGCTGGGTTGTGCTTTGAGATAATTGTTCATCCCTTCTTTCCTTTTAAGGGAACCTATTCATAAATAATCTTCCAAGGAGTTACAGCACAACTCAGGCAGGTTCTTCTACCGTTTACGGCGCTTCGACAGAGGACTGGGATGGGCCTGTTCCTGAAGAGGCCGCTATGAAGCCAGTGTCGCCCTACGGTGTCACAGGGGGATGTTTGAACATCTGTTTTTTTTTTTTATATTTTCTTGCCCCCTGAATCCCGTAGTAGTATCCTTATGAAGCCACAATATTTAAAAAAATAGGGTCCCCAAACCTGGGGTTCGCTCTTCGGAGATGGTGCTGCAGAAACCTAAACCCTAAACCCCAAACTCTAAACCCTAAACCCTAAACCCTAAACTATGCCCCAGGTCAGTAAGGCAGCCAGTGAGCTGCTTGCTTTGTCGTATGCCCGCGCCCACGGCCTTCACGTCATAGTGCCGCGATTCTTGGTAGTTTATGGTTTAGGGTTTATAGGGTTTAGGGTTTAGGGTTTAGGGTTTAGGGTTTAGGGTTTAGGGAGTGCAGTGGTGCCTTTTTGCCCCTGCTTTTTGGGCATTCGAGGGTACCCTAAGAACAAAAACCCACCCCACCCCAATGCCTATGAGCCCTAAACCCTTCCCAACCCCGACTACAACACCTTAAACCCTAAACCCTAAACCCCTTTTTTGGGGGTTCTGTGGTTCCCTAAGAACAGTATCCAACCTACCCTCCCTATAAACGCCATGGACCCTATAAACCCTAAAAACCCAAGGGTTTAGGGTTTAGGGTTTAGGGTTTAGGGTTTAAAACCCCTTGTAATCCTTATAAATCCTGATTACAATACGGATGCTACCAAGGATTCTTTGTCCGTTGCCCTGTTTTTGAATATAAACCGTTGTAAACCCTAAACCCTATAGGGCTACCAAGGATTCCTTGTCCATCTGCCCTTTTATATAAACCTTTATAAACACTGATAAACCCTAAACCCTAAACCCTAAACCGGCTACCAAGGATTCTTCATCCATCTGGCACCACGAGGTGTGGAGGCGCTTGCCTTGCACGACTTTGCCAGGCAGGTCGCGATGGTGGAGAGGGGCCTCCTTTCTCCTCCTGTGCCCTGGGTTTGAGGTTTAGGGTTTCGGGTTTAGGGTTTATAGGGTTTAGGGGTTTAAGGTTTAGGGTTTAGGGCTTAGGGTTTAGGGTTGCATGTGCACCGACAGCTCCAAAGTCCGTTGCTCAAAAGGGTTTAGGGCTTAGGGCTGTCTCCTCAAAGAATCTTTGCTTTTTTGTGTTGGATGAAAGGCGGGTTTAGGGTTTAGGGTTTAGGGCAGGGAGCATAGGGTTCCAAGGGAAGTACAGGTGCTGCGCCATGGGGACTTGTCGACCCGACGCGACATCACGGACATCGTGGACTCCGCACCTGTGGCTAGGGAGGCCCTTGGAGCTTTTTGTTCTTCGTTTCCCTTCTTGGGTTTAGATTTAGGGTTTAGGGTTTAGGGTTTAGGGTTTAGGGTTTAGGGTTTAGGGTTTAGGGTTTAGGGTTTAGGGTTTAGGGTGCAAACAAGTGCCAGCCGAGGTGGTGGTGTGCCTGGCGGAAGTGGCTCCAAGCGCCACGGTGGTGAACCTTGGTTCGAATGTTTCTTGGTCGCCCTAAACCCTAAACCCTAAACCCTAAACCCTAAACCCTAGACCCTAGACCCTAGACCCTAGACCCTAAACCCTAAACCCTAAACCCGTAGTTGTGCCCTTTTTGGGGTTCAAAATGGGGGTTTCGAAAATTAGGGTTATGGGGGGGGGGTTTCGGGTTTGGGGTTTAGGGTTTCGGGTTTAGGGTTAGTTTAGGGTTTCCGAAATTAGGGGTACCTTGTTGGGGTCCTTATTATAAGGGAAATTCCTTTATTTGGGGGCCTAAATTCGAGGTCCCTTATTGTCGTAAACCCTTATATAGGGTTGCCGTATTATAAAGATAGTTCCTGGGCGACCAAGGTTTCATACAGCATGCAGCAGCTGTTGAATGAGCTGGTTCTGCTCAGCCCTTCATGGAGACCAGAGAATCAGTCGGATGGTCCTTCTGCCCTCCGCTTGGAGATGGACGTGTCACGCCTCCGGGCATATGACGAGCGCATTGTCATGGCAGATATCAGCCGAGTTCAACAACTGACAGGGTGGGTTCCTCAGCCGGATATGCCGCGCCTGCTGCGCATGTTGCTGGACTACTGGAGGCATGAGACTGCCTTCCGCTATCCAGAAGAGCTTTCCTCACCCAGGCCCGCAAGCTCTGATGACAGAACTGAGTTCATGGCAGAGTTGTAATGTTGGGGTCGGAACCATGACTAACAGCATCCTCTTAATGGCCCCGTTATAGTTTTACCATATAACCCCCAAAACCCTATTCTGATCATTAAGGCCCCTATAGCAAGAAGAGAAGCCAACAGCGAGAAGGATCTTATGTGTCTGACATGGCTTGTCCGAGAGCGAGCGCGATCAAACGATGGAGCTAGAGTGTCTTGTATACCTTGGGATGTTCCCCCTTCTGCTACTAACAGTCCTAGGGATAAGAGTACCCCGCCCCCCCCATTTTAGTCCCATTAAGGACTGCCAGTATAAGGGGGAACATCCCAATCTATACCCTTCAAAACAGGAGGAGTCAAATGTCGGGGTGTGTCTCTGTGTGTGCACCTGGGTTTAGGGTTTAGGGTTTAGGGTTTAGGGTTTAGGGTTTAGGGTTTAGGGTTTAGGGCACCTTTTCTTAAGGGTACAGGGCTACTCTTAACCCTAACTCCATGTAGGCCCAAAGCCTCAGCTTTGCGATGGATTCATTAAGCTCAAAAGGGAAGAACGCAAGGAATCCTTCTGTAGATGATCTTAATGCATCGTTTTTTTGTTATATTCTATTGGATTAACATGCTTATATGCTTTAAATACGAAGAGTATGTTGTAGATCATGCTTTGTGTGCCATACATTGCACATGATCGTTGATGTCAACTCATGTTGCTTGTGTTTCTGCAACATGCATTAGTGTGCGTGTTATTCATGTTTGTGATTTGTGTAAGTTGATTCATTCTGTCTGTCCTTCATGGTTGTATGGAAACACAGACCGATTGTATGTTATCAGCCTACCCAACGGGAGTTGATGCTACGAACATGACTTGGTGCATTTCTTTATCTTATGAGCATTCGGTGTATGAATGCACTTTGCTAAATTTGGTACTGCTATCACTACTACTATGGTCATCGTTATCGTTCCAGTTCTTGGTATTGAACCTTCATTGCTGACGTGCCTTGCCCTATAAACCCAAAACCCTCAATCCCCAAACCCTAGACTCTTAGACCCAAAGCAGGCCCAATTGGGGCCCCTCTGCTGAACGCATGACTGCTGTATTCCTCCCCTGGCTTGTTTGAGTGCGAGCGATGAAGCCATTGTTTAAGGGGTGCCCTTTGGCCTAAACCCTAAAGCCCTAAACCCCTAACCCCTAAACCCCTAAACCCCTGAACCATAAACCCCTAAACCTAAACCCCTACACACTAAACCCTGAACCCTAGACCCTGAACCCTACACCCTGAACCCTACACCCCTAAACCCCAAACCCTAAACCCCTAAACCCTAAAACCTAAAAGGGCTCCAAGGGTCTGATTTCCGAGGCTGGACCGTCTCCATCAGCGGCGTCCGAGAATCTCCGAGGGCCGATGGCCCCGTGCCCGAGAGTTTCGGGATTAGGGATTAGGGGATTTAGGGTTTAGAGTTAGGAATTTAGGGGTTTGGGGTTTATGGATTTAGGGATTTAGGGTTTAGGGATTTGGGGTTTAGGGTTTAGGGATCATAGGGTTTAGGGATTTAAGGTTTAGGGTTTAGGGGTTTAGGGGTTTAGGGGTTTAGGGGTGTAGGCGGGGTTTAGGGGTTTAGGGGTTAAGGGTTTAGGGTTAAGAGTCTACCCCTTAAATGAGGAACATGGGGTTTAGGGTGTTTAGGAATATGGGGTTTAGGGTTCAGGGTTCGTCTATGTTCAGGGTTTTGGGTTTAGGGCAATGTCCCGAAGGCGTGGTAACGAGTTTTTCGGCGGAGGTGGTCTTCGAGAGGGTTCTTCGCTATCGTGAATAAATACAATATCATGTGATATATCTATATATATATATACATATATAAATATATTATTAATTTTAATTTTGACCCATAATCACTTAATGATTAAAATGTACCATTATTCATTGCAGACATACCAAATTCATCTTTGAAATTATGATGCACGGTCGGACGACGTGATGGATGATGCATGGATGGATGGCGTGATCCGAGGACTTAATCGTGGCTTGAACATGCTTTCGAAACAAAACCAGACAATACATAGGCAAACCCTGATTAAGCCCTCAACCCAAAAACCCGAAACCCTAAAACATCCCAAGCCCTAAGCCCCAAACCCCGAACCCCTAGACCCTAAAAAGCCCAAAACCCTAAACCCCAAAGCCCTCAACGGTAAAAGCCTAAACAACAAAACCCGATAGACCCCACAACAACCCTAAACCCCCAAAACCCGATAAAAACCCTGTACTTCGGGGCCAGGTGTAGGGTTTAGGGTTTAGGGTTTAGGGTTTAGGGTTTAGGGTTTAGGGTTTAGGGTTTAGGGTTTAGGGGTTCACAAGTTCCACGACCTGTCGAGGCTTGCCTTGTCGCGTCGCTCGCGCGCGCCAAGCAGAAGCACGCTGAGGCAGTGTTCAGGGTTTAGGGTTTAGGGTTTAGGGCTAGGCGGGCCCATAAGGAACCCACACTTTTTGCAAAGTTCTGCTTTACCTGGTTCAAAATCCCCCGCAAATATCACTGCTCCCTTGCTTCCGGCCATTACCTTATCCCCGTGTTTTTTTGGTTAATAAATCAAGTGTTTTTTGAGGCATCCGTAAACTACACTGGTATTTGTGGGGGGTTTTCTGCACTGCTTCACACTTTCGTCGTGTGGGAAACTAAGGACCCTTTTGCTTGCATCCGCTTCTGCCCAGCCCCGGGTCCAAATATCACGTTTCTTCACCATGGTTAGAAGAGAGCATCCATGGCGCAACCATGATGATGCCATGGTCTATAATCGGTTCTGGGAAGAGAGCATCCATGGCGGCGTCCATGGTCTAATCTGTTCTGAGCAAAGAGAGTCGATGGCCCAAGCTTGATGACGTCCATGGTCTACATGTTTTCTGCACTGCCATGGTCCAACCATGATGGCGTCCATGGTCTAATCCGTTCTGGGAGGAGAGCACCCATGACCCAAGCATGATGACGTCCACGGACAACATCCCGAGAAGGTTAAACCTTCTTGGCAGAAATGGCTGGATGTTCTTGTTGTTAGGCGCACTGGGGGGAGAGCAGAATGGCGTCATTTCTCAACACTAGAGGCTGTGACCTTAGTGCCGCAGCTCACGTTTTCTGGTGCCCAAGGGCTCTGTTGAATGTTTCTTAGAGCATTGTCCTTGCCAGGCCACACAGCCTCTCAAATCCTTCTCTGGATAGTGCTTCTGGCTGCTTTGTCATCTGCCTCCGCCCAACCACACTAACTACTTGGGACGTTCCCCCTTATCCTAACAGTTCTTACTAGGGATTATAATGGGGGTACTAGAATCCCCATGAAGGAGCTGTTAGTAGAAGGGGGAACATCCCAACCAACTACTTTGCTGCGACTTGGCGGTTGTTCGGTTACATAAACTCTCTGACTGGTTCGCATTACGACAGCAGCAGTCTTGCGAAAGATCTTCTCCTCTGTCCTGGCCGTTCCTGTGGGTATAGAACACTTTTTCAATTTGAGCACTTTACCTGCAATTGCGGAGTGTCGTTCATGGCATGTGGCTGCAGGCAGATGGCGAAGAGGACGTTGACGTTGCTTCGCTTGTTGTTCAGTCGCCAGCCAGCCTGTGCATTTCGTTACGTTCAGGGCTCGGGGCTGAGGTTTGGCTGTGCGAGAATTATCACTGCTTGCTTAAGAACCTCCCCAAGACATCTCAAAGACAATCATTCCCAAAAAGGCCGTTTAAGGAAGAATGTGTTCATTTCATTGGGTGTTCTTAAGCAAATAGTAGATGACGGGTACTTGTTGAGTTGGAGAATTTCGGAGCGTCGAGTTCCGGATTTCCACTGAGCGGCGTACTTGGAGGTTCATGGTACTTGTTAACCGATGATGGCTGTACTTATAACTGTACATATAACCATATTAGGGCACTTAGGGGGCTTAAAGTGGGTTATAAGTACAGTTCTAATTGGTCCACGTACGCACTTGGTTTTATTGTGCTGGTTGTATAGACAATGTCGAAGGTGATGTTGCCTTAGACACGTTCGGTTTCTGGCTACAGTGACGTCCCTTGGGATGTTTGAAATTTTCCTTTTGCCGGATTGAAGAGGATTTTGTTCAAGATGGGATGTCCCCCTTATGCTAACAGTTCTTCGTCGGGATCATATTACCTACCCCCTAGTCTAATCCCCATTAAGGAACTGTTAGTATAATGGGGAACATCTCAAAATACATGCCAAGCCTAAACCCTAAACCCGAAACCCTAAACAGGACGCGGCCGTGGTCGTCGAGCGAGCTGCGCTTCAGCTGGAGGTGTCCCCAGCCTTTTGGGGACCAAAGGAACCCTGAAATTGGGGGGTCGTATACCCTATACTACCTAGAATCCTTTTAAAAGGTATCTGAGCCGTAACCCTAACATTGGAGTCCTATACCTTATACTACTATAATTCCTGTTAATAGTACATGAACCAGAACCCTCAAATTGGGGTCATATACCCTGTACTACTACAATCCCTATTAGGTATATAGTATGAACCCCAAAGGCGTTTAGGGCTCATTTGGTTCATTTGGGTTTAGGGTTTAGGGTTTAGGGTTTAGGGTTTAGGGTTCATTTGGTTCATTTGGGTCCCCTTAAGGAGATGTCCCCTAGGAACCCCTGGACTCCTTGCGTCTCGAGCTCGAAATCTTGTCATCCGCAGCCCAAACCATGGCTCATTCGCAAAAGCTCTCGGTGTAGGGTTTAGGCTTCAGGGTTTGGGATTTAGGGTTTAGGGTTTAGGGTTTAGGGTTTAGGGTTTAGGGTTTAGGGGAGGGACTTCAGGCCCTTTTGAAACCTAAAGAAGTTCAGGGCTCCGGAACGACCTGAAGTCTTAAGGTGTTCCAGGCCCAAACCTCCATGCTCCCTACATCACGGTTTAGGGTTTAGGGTTGAGGGTTTAGGCTTTAGGCCCAGGCAGGCAGTGCAGCAGTCCTAGCCGTAAAAAGGCTGTTAAAGGGTTTAGGGCCCTAAACCCCAAACCGCGATACGAGCCGAAGCCGTGCCAGCGTGA